CCCAGCCGAGCCTTGTATCTCTTGACCGATCCATTAGGACGATGCTTTATCTTGTACACCCATTTGCAGGATATGGGTTTCACATCCCTTGGCTTTGGCACCAGATCCCAAGTCTGATTTTGCTCAAGTGCAGTGATTTCTTCTCCCATAGCTTTAACCCATTCGGAACTCTGTGATGCTTCTTCAAATGTTTCAGGTTCAACTGTTTCTTCTGCTATGGCTGCGTTGGCGTATTTGGGATTTTGCTTCCGTACTCTTGTTGACCTTCTGAGTTGTGACTGTGGAGTTGGTATTTCCACTTCACTAGGTCTAACTTCTTCTAGTGTTTGTTGATGTACACCAGTTTGCCAAGGATTTTGAGTAACTTCTTGCTCGTCATCGTCATCGTCAGGCAAATCTTCATGCTCATTTGAACTCGGTCGGATTGGAACAATTTGCTCCCCCAACTTTTGTTGCAGCTTATCTTCAATTTCTCTCGAGTCTGGTAACACCTCCTTTTCTGGGGACCACCAAGATGATGCTTCATCGAACACCACATCTCGTGATGTGTAGCACCTTCCATTTGTAGGGTCACAACACTTCCACCCTTTTCTCTGGTTGTCGTATCCCACAAAGATACATCTGATTGCCTTCTTGTCAAACTTGCTACGTAGATGACTTGGAACAAATACGTAGCACACACAACCGAATACTCGAAAGTAACTGACTGTAGGTTTCATATCCCACAGTTTCTCGAATGGTGAAATAAATTCTAACCTTGGTTGAGGAAGTTTGTTGATCACATGGGCTGCAGTTCTCATGGCTTCAGCCCAAAACCTTCCAGGCACATTCTTGGCATGCAGCATGCTTCGACATATCTCTGCAAGATGCCGGTTCTTTCTCTCTACTACTCCATTCTGTTGTGGCGTGTTGGCACATGTGAATTGATGACGTATGCGAGACTCTCGTAGATACTGGCAGAATTCATTCGAGGTATATTCTCCTCCATTATCTGTGCGTAGACAAATAATCTTCTTTCCCACTTCTCCTTCAACTATCTCTCTAAACTCTTTAAACTTTGAAAATGTGTCGGATTTTTCTTTCATAAAGAAAACCCACACATACCTGGAGAAGTCATCAATGAACGTCACCATGTATCGCATCCCGCTAATCGATGGTTGCTTAACAGGCCCAAACACATCAGAATGGATTAACTCTAGCGGTGCTTTTGCTTTGAACTTGGATTCCTCATATGGTAGTTAATGCGCTTTACCATATTGACATCCTGCACAGACCGTATCTGTTCTCACATCAAGCTGAGGCAGACCCTTGAGCATTGACTTCTTCATCATCACGCTTAGCTTGTGATAGCTAACGTGGCCCAATCTCATGTGCCATAAATCTGCTGTCTCGTTCTTTCTTGTCTTGTCTACATATGCAGACTCTGCTGACATTACGTAGACTGACTCTAGTCGTCGTCCCTCCATTGTCGGCATCCCTGAGATCTTAAGGTCTCGATACACCTTCACATCTCTTGGACTGAATAGGACATAGTGGCCTGATGATGTCAGTTGTGCTACTGAAAGCAGATTCTTCTTCATGCCTGGAACATGGTAGACATCTTGAAGCG